GCTTTACAAAAATGAAAGACATTCAGACAAAGGCATTTAAAAACAGTAAAAGATAATAAAACAAACATTAAAAGAAAAACAAAAAATGAAAGACATTAAGAAAATGGCATTTAAAATCAGTCATTAAAAAGAAAAGCTAATAAAATAAACATTAAAAGATCAAAGTTACAGTGCAGTCTAAGATATGAATAGTTCAATTCTTTCGGTTCTTGATTTTTAATTTATTCACAGAACCTCCCTTTGGAAATCCGAACATTTCCGTCCCGATTGTTAATTTAGACTGATTGTTTTCACCATGTTATGCTCGCATGACATCCACAATCGGACCCTCAGGAGGGTGTACTAGCCCCCTACTCTGCTTTGTGTTCCATAACAAAGTCTTTAAGTGTTACCTGAACACCCCGTGTTACCAAAACACTATTTTTCACCCGTCGGTGATGTGATACTTGTTCCTCAGTACAAATCACCCCAAAACTGATCGTAAACCCTGGCTACGACGGATATCCCAAATATCCTACTTTCGAGCAGTCCCTCTCATAAATGTCATGGAGTTTAATTTTTTGCTCACCTGACATCCACAATCGGACCCTCAGGAGGGTGTACTAGCCCCCTACTCTGCTTTGCGTTCCATAACAAAGTCTTTAAGTGTTACCTGAACACTCGTGTTACCAAAACACTATTTTTCACCCGTCGGTGATGTGATACTTGTTCCTCAGTACAAATCACCCAAAAACTGATCGTAAACCCTGACTACGACGGATATCCCAAATATCCTACTTTCGAGCAGTCCCTCTCATAAATGTCATGGAGTTTAATTACGTTTACATTTAAAACATTAAAAGAAAAAATACATGGATAAAAGTTACAGTGCAGTCTAAGATATGAATAGTTCAATTAAAAGCAGCGACAAAAAGAAAAGTCTTCAGCCTGGATTTAAAAGTAGTCAGAGTTGCAGCGGACCTGCAGGTTTCTGGGAGTTTGTTCCAGATATTTGGAGCATAATAACTGAACGCTGCTTTACCATGTTTAGTTCTGACTCTGGGGACAGAAAGCTGACCAGTCCCTGAAGACCTGAGAGATCAGGATGGTTCATAATTTAGCAGGAGGTCAGAAATGTAATTTGGGCCTAAACCATTCAGTGCTTTATAAACCAGCAGCAGTATTTTGAAATCTATTCTTTGACACACAGGAAGCCAGTGTAAAGACTTCAGAACTGGAGTGATGTGATCCACTTTCTTAGTGTTAGTGAGGACTCGAACAGCAGCGTTCTGAATTAGCTGCAGCTTCCTAATAGATTTTTTAGTGAGACCTGTGAAGACACCATTGCAGTAGTCAAGTCTACTGAAGATAAAAGCATGGACAAGTTTTTCCAAATCCTGCTGTGACATTAGTCTTTTAATCCTAGATATATTCTTTAGGTGATAGTAGGCTGATTTAGTAACTGTTTTAATGTGACTGTTGAAACTCAGGTCAGAGTCCATGACTACACCTAGATTTCTGGCTTTATCTGTTGTTTTGAACATTGCAGACTGAAGCTCAGCGCTCACTTTTATACGTTCTGACTTTGCTCCAAAAACCATTACCTCAGTTTTATCTTTGTTTAATTGGAGAAAGTTCTGACACATCCAGTCGTTGATTTGTTCAATGCACTTACTCAGTGTTTGAATTGGAGCATAGTCTCCTGGTGAAATTGTTACGTAGATTTGTGTGTCATCTGCATAGCTATGGTAACTTATTTTGTTGTTTTTCATTATCTGAGCCAGTGGTAGCATGTAGATGTTAAAGAGAAGAGGCCCCAAGATGGAGCCTTGAGGAACCCCACATGTCATATTTGTCAACTCAGATGTGTATTTACCTATAGAAACAAAGTTGTTTCTGTCCTTTAGGTAGGATTCAAACCAAGTAGGCATATATATCAGTGGCGAGCCGTGACTTTTATACCTAGGCCCTCTGACCCCCCCCCCCCCCCCCCCCCCCCCTCAAAAAAAAAGAAGAGATATTACGTCTCAGCGTATACTTCAGCAGAATATCAAAACAGCGGCCCGGGGTGCAAAACGCATCAATGACAGTGGCCCTCTACCACACAAAACAACACCATTTATATAAACACCTCTCATGACAGGGCACCCACAGCCAAGTAACAATTAGGCTACAAATGAATTAAGTCGGCACGGCGGCCCGCATTGAAAATGACTTAGGCCTACCTTTGATGATCAAATCACTTAAACACAAAGTCCATCCTCCTGTCCTTTTGGATGAAGCACTTCATGGCGTGTCATGCAGCTGAACTCAATCTTGAAAATGACTCGGTTAATAATTTTGCAAACGATGTCATCACTATCACTGAAGTGAGCCATCATGAACGAAGTTATGCTAATCATAAATATATCGATCATTAAATCTATCGATTAGATTTATGATTCGAAAATAATAAAAGTAGGGTAGACATGTGGATATTATCCGGCTGAACAAAACGTGCGTTAACTAACAGGTTTGTTTTCCACAGACCTTATTTCGAGCTATTTTCCAAAATCCTATGGAGAAATCCCATTGCTTTTGTGTCGAGGGAATCCGAGCGCAGCTTACTTCCGGGTTTTAGGATGCGTCACTGCACCACTTGCATAGACTTCACAGCGGGCGGATCTTGTCATAAAGTCCGCGAAAATAAAGCCCGCCCATTTAGAGGGAAGATATGATTGGTCAATTGTACTGTCATTTGACATTACTCTCTCATTGAGTTACTATAGTGGGCCCTCTGTGAATGTACAGAGGGACCAACAAGCTCTCCCGTCTTCACATAACTCGCAGAGAGGGCATTTAACCCTTCACATTCCAACAGAAACTGAACAGGCAGATTCGAAGGATTTATTTGGAAATGTTATATTAAATCAAGTTATTTTGGTAAAACTAATGAAAAATGTAACAACAAAAAAATGTTTTTTTTTTATGTTTTCAAATATTCTTTTTTAGAATATCTTAGGCCCTCACAGAGGGCCTAGAGGGCCCTGACGGCTCGCCACTGATATATAGTCATGTTACTCCATTCGTGACAAAACTAAGGATTTCCGCATGATTATATATATATATGTACTTGCCTAAGTTAAGAAAAAATGATTTATCTATTTAATACATTCAATTACATTTTTGTGATTAAAAAAATCTCTTTAGAGATTTTTTTGGTATACATTTTTTAAGCTCCAGACGTTCCAGACTAAAAATATTGGCTATTGAATGGATGGTCATACATTTTTTTTACACAAATTCATGGTCCCCAGTGGATAAATTGTAATAACCCTTGTGACTTAATTTAATCTAAATTTTCAGTTCTAAAAATGCAAACATATTATTAATATCCTCCTTATCTCATTTTCTTATATGTGAAAAAAACATGGTGACATTCAGCGCCGCAGATTAGAAACTCTCAGTGGGACTATGTATATAGCCTTGTTTTACTCCTCTGGAGCAGAAAGGCTTGCCTGAGAGGGTTGAGGTTAGTCAGGTATGACCTCGTTCTACATACTGAGAAAACAGAGCAAAGAACCGGTTGTGCTGGAAGAGTCTGGAAATCTAGGGTACTTTATCTTCATCACAAACTATTGTACTAAAGGCCTTTAGTGTCCCTTAAACACTGATTCAATGTGTTTATTTACTCATTATTCAACACTGCTCATTTTTCGACACTGCTCATTTAGGATGATTGTCTATACCAGGTGTTTACTTAGTGTTTTGCCTATGTTGTGCCTGTGTATGTATGTGTGTGTGTGTGTATATGTATGTATGAGAGAGAGAGAGAGAGAGAGAGAGAGAGAGAGAGAGAGAGAGAGAGAGAGAGAGAGAGAGAGAGAGAGAGAGAGAGAGAGAGGAGAGAGAAGAGACTCGGCGCTCTATAGTATAGATGCTCTAGATACGCTCTCAGCTCGCTCTATCGAATCTCTAGAATTGCTCGCATCTCTGCTCTGATCGCTCTCTCGCTATCATATAGCTCGAGAGAGAGAGAGAGAGCAGTTCAGACGTGAATCCTGGCAACGTGGGCCTGGCAATTCGCGCAGGACAATACCGGAAGCTTGCAAGTTAGGGTTCAAAACAAAAGCATGCAATTTTGCACAAGCCAACAACACTAGGACAAAGTGTATTATTATGCTTATATGCTATGTTCAATAATATGTGTTGTCATTGAATCTTAATTTGTAGTTTCATAGCCTCTGCTATTTATAGTCCTTTGCCAGTTTTTGATCGTGTTTTCCCCGATTAGCTCCTAATGTAAGAGGTGATGATTCCACAACCATACAGTATGTTATATCTGTATTATAATGTGCTATGTTATATTAATGTGTTTAACTGTTTATTTATCTTTTGAAACAGACAATTATCATTACGACTGTATGCTATACTAATCACATTATATATTTGTCTGGTTTACAGACATGTATTTGCTGCCTCTGCTCCTAACATCACACCACTGTTAGACATAATGTTTTCTAATTGCTCTTTTATAATTTCTATGTTACTTTTTTCTATTTTTAGTCTCTTAAACCTCTTGTGATAAAGCCCCGGCCCTTTCTGCTAATGTTATGAAAAACAGAATAACGCCTTAGAAACTCAAAATAATGAGATATTATTCTGGTAGAGTTTTTTTTTAAATAATGGGAACGTTGCTCGTTATTGTAAGATATTAAGTTTATATTTTGAGTTATTAAATCAGTATTTTGAGATATAAGTTAGTCCTTTTCTTGCTGACATTTCTCATTGTTTTGACAAAGTGCAAAATCATTAATTTAAGACAGTAGGCTACTGAGTCATTATTTTGAGTTTTTTATTTGAATGATTTACAGGATCTTTTTTGTAAATGTCTATCTTATTCATTTCTTGTTATGCCGGAAATGGGGTTTTATCAATTGTGATCCTACTCGAAGGGTAAAAGAGTAGGCTATCTTATTTTGAAATTCCTAACCGGATATAGTTGTTTCGTTTGTCGCTAGTTTAGCGTCCGGTGTGTAAACACAAGCAACGCCTGTCCAGCTCCCAGCACAACAACAGACGCGCTTTCAGAGGCAGGAAGAGACGCGAGAGAGAGAGAAAAAAGACATGTAACATATTGTTTAGTTAACAGAAACCTTTGTAAAGTGACAAGTGTGTGGATAATACGATATATAAAAAGGAAGAAGAACACGTCGCTTCAAGATTTTCTTAGCAGTCTTGGTAGAGCTGCTGCCCCGGACTCTCCACCGCAACCTACAAGGTAAATTAATCAGGATTCTACTGGATTTTATTGTACTATTTATAAGAATGATGTTAAGCGTCAAGTAAAAGCTGGTTACTATAACACTATGCGTATGTCCCGTTGCTTTTGTAAGTTTACGGACACACCTGAAAGTAAAGTACGAACTGTGCACAGGTGTGCGAAGGTTTAATTAATTGCTTCTGATTGCTGCTGTTCCCTTTTTAGCTTTACAACACACTATCTGTACATCATTGAGGCAATTTAGTGTATTCTTTCTGCTCAGAAAGTCAAACTATTTATTTTACAATGTCAAATGTATCCTGGAGGGCTCCATACAGTCTTTGTGGTCCGTCTTAGTTGCCTTTTTATCAAAGTGTGCATCAGGCATGGCAGGTTTGTTGGGTTTAGACATAACAAAGTGCCTCTTGTATACGGACTCATTTCCTGCTCAGACCTCAACTCCATTCCAGACCATAAATCAACATTTTCCTTATCAAGGACCCCTGCATCCATCTCTCCAAAACAAATCTTATTGTTTTTCTTATCTTTTTACTCAAGTAACATACACCTGGAAACTGTTCTTTGCTTGTGAAATCTGTGGTACAGATGGATTTCTTTGCATTCACACTAAAATCTCCCACCTATTACTTTTCTGATCTAGGACAGATTGTTCCAGTTTTGTGAGCCTTTGTAAACCTGTAGCATCATTGGGACTTAAGGAAATATAGGTCTGCCCCATAACAAATAAATAGGGATGCTGACTTTTTGTAAACTAGAAATGCTGAAATACCAATAATAGGCTTTACCTTCCAGCTCTGTTGGAAAGCATTGGACCAAAATGTAGTCAACTCGTGGTTACAAGAGGATCATTTATTGTCTATTGGGACACAATGGTAGACTCTACATGCCAATAACAACACAAAACAATCAGTGGTCTACTTCCTGGTGTGTATGTAAGAGAGAGTGGTTAACAGGATTTGGATGACTTGCCTTAGGGCACAGCAATAGCATGAATTCTTAAAATGAATGGCATTCCCCCTGTGATGTGTATGCAGCCGCTTTTGGCTCGAAACAGAGGCACTTTTCATGGGACCAGAACTCCACAGTTACTGTGTTACTAGGAAGAAATAGGAACTTAATTCAGTGTTTCCCACACAATACTTTATTGTTGGTTAATTGGATGTATGCTGCATGTGTGCACAGCAGCTCTGTAGTGTGTTTATACTTCATTAAAGTAACAAAGCTAAAAAAAGCTCTTTCTATTTATTAGGCGCAGCTGCATCATTTGTAAACAAATGTCCAATACTTAGAACGAGATGATAACACAACAAAGAAGAAGAAACAAACTTAACATTGGAAAGTCTCTCCCACAGCCCTCAAACTCAACCGGATGTTATATTCAAATTGTTCCCAGCCTAAACACACACATAGGTCAAGTGCTTACCTCAGCAGGCCTGAAAAAGGGCGGACTGTGAGCCTTGACAGTGGGAGGCCACAGTTTATTTTCATTAATAATGTCTCGAGTGATTTTATAAAGCGCATGCCATGGCAAGCATCCCTCAAACATCTTCAGAGGATCTGCTGCATCAGCATGTCAGGGTTGTAGCATCCCCTGGGAGTTATTGAGTTCTACATGACAGGAATATAATGACTGCAGATTTAGGACTGGGATTATTTTGCATTTTATCAACTCTAAATCCAGCATTACATCTGCATATTTCGGATCTCTTGTTGAATCTATTTGTGTAATTGACTTAAAGGGGACCTATCATGCAAAATGCACTTTTGTATGTCTTTCATACATGAATATGTGTCCCCGGTGTTCCAAGGAACTCACCAAGTGTCAGAAAACACAACCCTCTCTATTTTCCTCCATACTTAATACAGTAACAAAAGAAAGTTCAACAAATCTTAAACCAACTATAAGGAACTTTTAATTTGGTGTTGATTTACCGCGCCATTGACTGGTAGTGTGTTCCTAGAATCCAGACTGGTTTTCCCATGAGCACCACCATCTCGTGTTGCAAAGATCTTACTATTCTTCAGTTTTAAACACAGACTGAATGACTTTTTTGTCGCATGCTTAAATTCGCAGATAGCTTTGCTGTGCTTGCTTTGCTCGTAAAATGCATTAGCTCCATCAAACCATTAAAAAAATGTTAAACATTGGTTTAGCTTAATGGTTTAATTTTTAAACATTAGCTAGCTTTGTTTAAGTCGCCAATCTAAATTCAAATATTGATTTAAAAAAAAAGCATGTCTTGCGATTTCATTCATTCATTAGTTCCATACCGGTCTAAGAACAAGTAGGCCAATCAGTATTGCTTTTATATATTAAAAGTAAAATACTCTTTCCTCGAAAAGACATGAGTTTTAAAACTGGGAATTTTACCAATGTATAATTCTGGTTTACTACAGATTGGTTCTTCTTTGCTAGTTTTGGGACTGTTTTGAACAACTCTGTCGTCCATAAAGAAGTCTGACGGGGAAGGAAAGACGAGCAGCCAGAAAATCAGACGGGTTTAAACAAACTCTCAGGTAACATAAAGTATATGGAAGAGAAAACAAAGGGAAGTAAAGAACTTCTGACCAAGACTATCTGTTGTAAACGTCCATCACAGTTTAGAGACCAACTTCCTGCTTCAACTTCATCTACTGGATTTACCTTAGTCATGCTTACACACAGTGTTCCTGTGCTGTGAGAGAATATCACACATTTCAGGTGTGCTCATTTTAGCTTGTTTTTCCTCACCCAAAGTTCACCCCTTTTCTTTGGAACACACCTTGTTTGACTTTGTTGAATCTTCAAAAAAGGTTATGAAGGTGTGAGTATTTATTAGTCTAAAATGTTTCATAATAGATTATGTGTTTTCTGTAAGTGACATCTCTCAGTCGTGCTGCTGTTGTGAATTTTTGCCCATGAGACGTTTAACTGGAGGTCCCTCCATTCTCTGTGTTATACAGCTCTGCAAACCGTCTCGTTGAAAAACAAATAGTGAGGGAGAAACTCTAGAAGCCAAGACAACAATGGGAACTCAGTGGGAGGTGTTTTGTTGTCAGAAGCAACATGAAGGCCTTGTTGTGTTTTAAGATTTCCTGAGAGCCTGTCAAGTCAAATGAAATGTTGATTTAGGGTTTTGTGGGTTTTCTTTGTTTATGTAGTGTCCCATTGTGCTAAATTGAGTCCCCTGCTGCTAGTTGCTTGCTGTAATTAGTGATGTGGCAGTTTCCCACATCGCAGCGTTTCAAACAGACAGAAAATAATGACACTGTTTTTTTCCCTTAAACAATAAGCTGTGTGTAGTGCAAATTAAACTACAGGCTTCTATACTAAGGTTTGTTTAATCTGTATACATCATGAGTTTAACTTTTGTTTTGTTCTGTTGAAGGAAGAGTGCTGTGTGGATTTGTATCAGTTAGCTTTGTTGGCAGTCTGCTGTAATATCCTGCAACACATTGTAAGAAACACTGACAATATGCTCAATCCACGACTCATGCTGTATGTTGACTAAACACAATGAGTGCAGAGTTGGCCTCAACCGTCACTCCTTCCTTCCTCTTTCTCCTTATGGATAGATTTTCATGTAGCTTCTAATCTTTCTATGAACTTGTGGTATAGCAGATGGAGTTTACTGAGATTCTGATCTGATCTGATTAAGTTGTCAGTCACACAATTTTTGTAAATACTCTTTGACCTTGGACTGCATGGGAACAAGTCTCTGTAAATAACATGCGAGCAACATTTTTTTCTTATCTTTCTAACACAAACCGTTGATTAAAATGCACAAACAATATGATTCAAACTGTTTCTTTAATCATAAATGTATATTTGAACTATACTCTTTGTTCTCAACCACACATTTTAACCAGAAACCCTTTCATGCATGAATTATGAAAACCTCAGTCAGGATTTTTTTACCAAGTGTTTTTATTGCTCTTGGGGCATGAAAAACAAGATTTTAACTTTAGTTTCTTTTTATCTAGTTTTTTCAAATTTAGAAAAAAAATGTTTTTGTATGTCCACCCAGGTGGACAGTATGCGTTAAAGTTTGAACTGAAGACATGTACATTTGGAAAAAATTATAAATAAAGATGTGCAAACTTAAAATTCCATTATAATAACATAAGTATATTGATTTAAGGCCCAAAAAGATCTTGCAAATTAAGTATTTTCAACAGCAACAGTAACAGTATGAATTGTAGTTGAAATATGGCCAGTGATGCATCAGGTGATTAATCATAATTTCCTGCAAACATAAAATCAATGCTTTGACAATTTATTAGTGGTGCACGATAATTATCGGCCCGATATTAGGAATTATGAAGTCATCCCGATAAACCCGATAACAGTATTAATAGCCCCGATAATATACAATATATTTTTTGGGTAAAAAAAAAAGAAAAAAATACTGCGGTGTGGGTGGATTGGGATGAGGGGCGCTTGTTTTTCACTTGGCTCCTCCCGTTTTGCCAGTACTGTGGTATTAGTGGTTTAGGAAGAGGGGAGTTTTTCACAAATCCAGCGCTCCCTAACTCATGCCTGGCTGTGACGTAAATGGTGTGCGGCCGTGAAGCCAGGACAGTAAACAAACGTGTCGCCGGTAGTATGGAACTATTTCAAAGTTTCAGAGTTAGATAGTTCGCTTGCTATTTGTATTAACAAATGCAATGCAGAAGTTCCACGAGGAGGGAAAAAGGCAACGAGCTATAATACTTCCAACCTGATTAGTCACCTGAAACATCGCCATCGCTACGATGGTGTGTTAAAAGCGTACGAAGACGCCTGTGCTGCTAAACTAGCGGCGAATCCAAAGCCAGCTGCAAAGGCACCGGGGCTTTTACCTATCGACCAGGCTTTTGAAAAAGGCAAGAAGTTTGCCAGAGACGTCCCCAAGGCTAAAACGATCTCTAACTTCATCATAGAAATGATGGCGCTTGACGAGAGTCAAAACTGTTCTTGGCTTTGTTTTGTTTTGTTCATAGTAGTAATGCTCATGTCATTTGCTCACCACTAGTCTTTTTTTTACCACCAGGTGTACTACAGGTACATTTAATATATATTATATTATTATCAGGTATCGATCTTGAGAAGCAGGAAGTTATCGGTATCGGTTTCAAAAAACCAATATCGTGCATCCCTACAATTTTTATGAATTATATGATTCCTTAGTTGTTACTTGATGTCACCAACATTGTTATACCTGCCGGGGGCGCTTTCCATAAAAGGATTGGCAAGATATCGACGAGTGATTCGGGGTGTTTCTCAATCTCGAGTATGCTTGCTTGGTAGCACATGTCTTCCGAGCTTCTTGCTTCAGAAGCGAGGCAAGAATACTTCCTGGCATTCGGAAAACTTGAAATAGTGGCTCTGGAGCAGCTTTACTCGCGATTGAGAAACACCCTCGGACCATCTGGCTTTCTGTCGTCCATCTTGGTTTAGAGAAATGTATCATGCACTTACACTGACTTTCCACTGAGTGGCAGTGTATGGGATGATGCAATAGGGTCCTATGTAGTGGCTGAAAACAAGAAAACCCCTTTTTGAAAAGCTGTCCACTGTAGTAGCCTCTATGCGTGAAAGGGTTAAGAATAATATGAATGATTAGCCGCTATATTGTAAATTGTGTGCATTTTTTTTCATTCACATATGAATTGATGGTATTTGTGTTACTTGGCTGTAATACAACTCTTCAGACCATAAAAGCAAAACATTTGAAGGTACCCTGCAGGGTTTTCTTCAGGAAAAGCATAGCCTGATGTTTACATTCAGTGTTTCTCAGCAAAACGTGCTGTGTTTATCCCTAAAGCCTAACAAATGTACTAAATGCATGTTACCTTATAAATCATTTATAAAGTCGTTCTTAAATCTGCATATTTAAGAACTAGCATGGTTTACATCCCTGTTTATGTTGTTCAGCAGCTTTCTCTTGTATTTGCAGAGGGATGTCACACATGCCCTGTATTTATTTACACTTAGTTTTCCGCCTCCTGCATGTCAGCACATTATTTGTTCTAATCTGTGTGGTAGGAAAGCACAAGATTTAAACAAAACAGCGACCCACTCATCAACAATATTACGGCCCGTCCACACAGCGGCGTGCGTTGTCACTTGCCGGCGGGCGTGTCTGAAACTCGACCAACAACCAATCACATGAATCTCCCGCCCCTGACACACAAGCAGCGGTTTGATTGGCTAGAACTTGTACTGGCATATGATTCGATTGGCTGACGCTTCTGAAAAAGTTGAACATTGCTCAACTTTTGCAGCGAGCCACGCCAGTTGTTTAAACGCAATCATTCATCAACGCAGGAATCATGGAGGACACCGACCATGTCAAACAATTCAATGAACCTGCACGCCGCAGATATCGTGAAAAAATCACAGCACACATCGGATACGATCCGTATCAGCTGAAAAAGAGCGACTTTTCTCGTGATTTATCAGATTTGCCCGCTGTCGAGGCGATGGATATCACCAGCTACCTCGTCCTTCATACCTCCTACTGCACGGCTAGCCAAATGAAAGCGTATAAAAGCCTGGAAGCTTTCAACTACTTCGTGTGTGGATGGGTGAATGACCTCGGCACCAAAAAGGCATTAAACAAATGTCGCCTTGTTTTTGCCCGGGTGAGTGTTAACTACCTATACCTTCTTACCTCTAAGTAGCATTATTAGGAGACATATAGCTAGCTAACTTTAGCTACATGGACTCATGTAAGGCAGTGTTACGGCTGTCGCCTTGCCTTCAGCATTAACTGGCCTGTGAGTGTTCTGTGTGTGTGTATATATGTGTGTTATGATTACATGTAGGTACTATGGTTACCGCCTCGGAGACGTTGTTTCGTTCCTCTTGATGACGCTACTTAAGCTGCAACGTTGTTGACATTCGGGGCGCTGGATCTGTGCTAGGACGCCATGCTACCATACCTCAGAATGTTTGTGTGTTATTGGTGCTTATGTGTGTGTCCTTACGATATTGTTAACAGAGGTTAACTCGGGTGCTTATGATGTGTGTTTCCTTACGATATTGTTAACAGAGGTTAACTCGGGTGCTTATGGTGTGTGTGTACTTAGGATATTGATGTGAGTGTATGTGTTTAGCTTAGGATATATTTTGTTTTGGTGACGGCGTTGTACTTGTGCGAAACGTCTCACCAGTTCTGTCTTAAGTGTCCTGATTCGTGACTGTGATATTCTGTGGCCTTCGTGTACTGTTGTGTATAGCCAGCTCAGAGCCTTTGAACAGCATGCACGTTGTTTATATCACTCTATGTTGAGGTTAATATTAAAAACAACCTCTTTACCAAGACCATCTGGTTATGTGTTGCTTCCCTTTTACCCCGAAACGAGCTGGGGACGTAACATAACTATACTAGCTAGCTATGGCTTGATGTTGTTAAATGTATGTTACTAACTAGCAAGTTGTTAACTGGAGCTTCAATTTTGTAGGTCAACCATTCCCAGAGGTCTGGAGAAACACCATTTTAAAAACGTGGATTGTAGCTAAAGAAGATGGAGAGGTTGTTACAGCACACTGTAACTGTATGGCTGGGTAAGTCATAAAATACATATCCCAACCCAAAGCATATTTGACACAACACTTAAGCTCAGACAAAATAATGCCTGCTATAATATTCATGTTATACCATTACTAGCTTTTACGATCAATCTAGTTATTCTAGTATGTCTCTGTCTATACAGTTTGTCAGAATCCTGCTCACATGTTGGAGCAGTTCTGTTTGCAATCGAAGCAGGTGTGAAGATGAGAGACTGCATCCTGCACCACTGAGAAGTGCAAGTGGCTAATGCCATCACATGTCAAAAAGGTATTCAGACCCCAGTGGTCAGTCAGCTGTTCATGCCGTCCTTGCCCGTCTCATTGTTACACTGCACCTACATGTATGTTCACATACATGTTGGTCTGTCTCTCACATGTGCAGATTCCTGCTGCTCCAGTTGCGATGATAGACTTTTCATCCGCAAAATTCAAAAAGCAAAAACTGGATGATGCCATTGCTGGAAGGACAGGTGAGAAGCACACATTTCAGCGTCCCACAGTCCAGGGTTCAAAATTGGAGCGAGGATCAGAGAGGTATATGCAGTTTTTCAAGACTTTGAGCAGAAATTCCCCAAGAAGTGCTGCACTGATGTCCAGGGAACCATATTACAAAGAATTTGTCCCTAAATCTGTGAGCAAACTACCTAAACCACTACCTCAGTATAGGACACCAGAGATGCTACAGCTCTCCCCAACAGAGTTGCAGAATGCATGCCAGGACTTCAGACAGGAAGAGCTGACACAGCCACAGGTCCAGGCAGTAGAGGAGGAGACCAGAAACCAGAGCTTATCACCAATATGGTTTAGCCAAAGAGCAGGAAGGATCACAGCCTCAAGACTGAAGCAGGTTCTACAGACTAGTCTTGCACAGCCATCAAAGTCCTTGATCAAGTCCATATGCTACCCAGAGGCACACAAGTTCTCTACAGCTGCAACAAGGTATTTATTAGGGATTAGGGAGCCAATCAGAATGGAGTATTCACCCAGACCATGGTATAATTAAGCAATAGCTCACGACAGGCCGTGGTATTTGTTCATTATATCACAGCTAAGGGGCGTGGTTCGGCCCGACGTGAAGCGTCTGGACCGCTGCGTAAAAAGGAGGGTTTCTGCCCCGTTACTTCTCCGCTGCTTCCTTGTTCCAGTTTGAAAAGCAAACTGCAGGCAGTTTGCTTTTCAACGCAACTGTATACAGTTTTTCTCAGACGCGGAGGGATACCGACTTGTTGTGAAAAGTAACTTGCAATTCTACCTGTGGTATACGCTGATTATATCACGGCTAAGAACCAATCAGATTGCTTGATTTGACTTGTCCGTTTTATAATGTACAATGTTCTATTTCTGTTCCTTGTTGTATACATTACAGGTATGGATGCAAATACGAGGCAACTGCCCGAAAGCAGTATGAAGGAGTACAAAGTCTGCACCACCAGGGTTTCAGCTGTAAAGACAGCGGGCTTTGGCTGAACCCTCAATGGCCATACATGGGAGCGTCGCCAGACGGATGTGTCACGTGCACCTGCCATGGAACTGGTATCTGTGAGATAAAGGTAAGTTATTTGTTCAGTATTGTGCTACAGTAAAGCGGGTAAGTATAGGATTGTGACGTGATCCTGAGTCTGGGGATCCTCTCCCAATACATTTTGAGCTGCAGACACTTATTTACAGTACAATATATTGCTTTTCTTTTCATTGAACTTTTAGTGCCCACACAGTAAACAAGAGGAGGCCAATCTTCGCCTGTGTGCTGGAGAACAGGGCTTCTGTCTCGTCAACGATGGGGGCACTGTGAAGCTGGACAGGAGACATGCCTACTACCATCAAATACAGGCTCAGCTCCACGTCGTTGACTACTGCGACTTTGTTGTCTGGACTAAAAATGACCTCTTTGTAGAGAGAATTGTGCGTGATGTGGACCTGTGGGACAACATCATTCCCAGAGTTGAGAGTTTCTTCAGACTATGTGTTCTCCCTGAAGTGTTGGGACAGCAACTTACAAGGGGAAAGGTAAAAGTAATAAAGTAATAAAAAATAAAAAATTTTCCACAAGAACATGATAGTGCATAACTATCAGGTGACTAAAAGCCTCCTCTCCCTGTCTGCTGTTCCATTTTTCAGTTTCAGTTGCAAGATGATCAGGAGGGAGAGAAGGCGTGATTACCAGCACCTGTGGTCTGTCCTGGTCCCGGAAGTTGTGGTTCTCTCCTTGTTGCATTATTATTTGCACAGTGGCAGCTCTTTAACCTGCATTACAGCACCTTCATATTCACTGACCACACTCACTAGAGGAAGTAGGGCTGTGTGATATATTGCTATTGTAAAAAAGATGTTTACTGAAAAGATTAAATGATACTAAGAAGACTGAATAATACATGGTTTCTTATTTACATTTACAATAACCCTCAATGGCCATACATGGGAGCGTCACCAGACCAATTGTCATCTCTAGAATATTGTTGAATGAATTAAGCCTGAATGTAGATGAAAGTTGTATATTGAGTAGGGCTACACAATTTACAACACACAAAAAGATGTTTACTGAAAAGATTAAATGATACTGAATAATACATGGTTTCTTATTTACAAGACTACAGCTCCATGACTTTACTCCAATGGGACGACAGACACTGACAGATTAGACAAGGCACAGCAAATAACCCCAATCTTGTCAATTAATGCTAGTGCCTCACCTGGTTTTGTTAGCATGTGCTCTCATGTTTTTTCGGAGTGTAGTTATAATTTTAATAAATAAATAAAAACACTTCGTTTAGTTTCGGAAATTCTTTGTTGTGTGTTGCTGCCGGCCAGTCTCTCCCCCATTCTCATTGAGTATTTTACAAAGAGTGAAACAGCGCCCCTCTAGATGTTATGGTGAAACAGTAGATTGCACTCACTTTTGCGAGAGGAGGCCAGCCGAAATTGGCTTCCCTTGGTGAAACAAATGGAGAGATTGACCAATCAGATGAGGCTCACGTGATGCCCCTGCCAACCTGTGATTAGTCAGGGCCAGGCCAAGGGAAGCAAGAGGCGGGCGGCTTCCCTTGCCTCACAATCCAATCAAATCGCATCAATTTAGTGTTGCAGTGACGCGTCCTAAAACCCGCGGGTTTTAGGACGCGTCACTGCAACAAGTAAGCTGCGCTCGGGTTCCCTCGACATGGGATTTCTCCATAGGATTTAGGAAAATAGCTCGAAATAAGGTCAGTGGAAAACGAACCTGTTAGATAAATGCACGTTTTGTTCAGTCGGATAATATCCACATGTCTACCCTACTTTTATAATTTTTGAATCATAAATCGAATCGATAGAAGATAGATAGCGTCACTGCACCACTCTCACCGCCGTTAGAAAGTAGCAAGCAACTGAAGCAAGTGCAATTATGGAGGGTGAAGATTTGGAGTATTTACTCAAAAAATAATTGTACTAAACTTCCGCTACAGCAGCAACAACAAATGCAATCTGATGACAGGCCGATGCCCAAACTGGAGCTGTGTACAGAGAGGGAAAAAAGGAGCGAATCGGACGTAAAACGTTAAAGGTCTCCTGATTTAGTTTGTGAATGAATGCTTATTAGAGTTTGGGCTGGAGAGTGCGTGCGGACATGTCGGTTAGATAACAGGCGTGTGTAAGTCCTGCATCGTAATGATACAAATGTGTGTAAAATGATACCGGGTGCTGTAATCACTCATCTGGTTACGTTATTATATTGACCACCACACCCCCGACCCAAAAGAAAGGACGTATTATTGGCTTCCCCTAATTTTTTTCCCACGCCACGCTATTGTATGGGCACAGCCCTGCTTTGCAGAATCTGATATTTTCTTCTGACTAATCCTCCGACTCTTTCGACATGAATACGCACATTAGCTATTTTTCTTGTCTCTTCCACCTCGTATGCTGACAGCTGACTTTTCCCCCTGGTGAATGCAGGCATCTTTAGTGAAGCACAGTAAAATCCCACACTATCGCCAATATCGAACCCACGGTCTGCTAGGACAATATCTCCAGGTAACAGGTTTTTTAGGAGCCCACTCTGTATTGTGATCTGTTTATCACTAACTCTTCCTCCCCAGGCACAAGATATGCAAGTGACATAGCCTTGGGGAGCAACACCAATCAGAAATGTAACAGTATGGTGATGCTTGTAGTTGGACCATGCTTGTGCTCTAGCTAGTAAATTAGAGGGCCTCTCAATAAAAACAGTCAACAATCACAGCAACTCTACATCCAAATGCCTGTCTGAATCCCATTGGCATTGTAGCTTGAAGTACATGTCGCTCTGGCCACTCAATTATAAATTCTGTACTCTCGTGAAGTATGTCAATTAACTTATGCCACATTCTAGAAGCAGTGGAGAGAGAGATGTTGAACCTGAAAGCCAAATCTTTCAGAGGGAGATTTAGTCTCAGCCTCAGCGAAACTAAAATGAACTGTTCAAATTTGGAGAGCACAGACATAGGGCCACAGGTGATGTAGGGCTCGCACAGTTGAAAAACCTGAAGTAAAACTAAGAAGTTGGGGAGCCCGGTCTAAAACTTTGTCTTCTCTTCGTTGTTCTCAAAGGACTCCTGGTTGAATTTTGTGTCCAGTGCCTTTGTCCGAAGATCTCCCAGCTCTGTTGTGTTCTGTCTCAGAACATCCTCCATCCTCTCGATGTCCTCCATCGTTAAATCAGTCTGGCATCCTGCATCTGCATACAATATAGCAGTAGCAAGCATAATTAGTTATTTAAAATAGTCAAATATGAATGTGAATTGTTGTGAAGTTATCTTTTTGACAACCTTTTTACAGACATGCAAGTTCTCTGTTCCAATTATTGCAGATTCTCAAGTTAGTACTCTATTTTCTAAACCTAATTCAAAGTTTGCATTGATTTTTTGACAATCACATTTGTAATATTTAATAATAATGCTGGTGGTTAATTTACCTTGTTGGTCATTTAATATCCCACTGGTGTCCTCTGGTTGTGGGCTGTCAGACGGGGGCTGCGTCGGTTCTGGGCTCTCGGTTGTCTGCAGGAGATCCAACAAAGCCTCTGCACATTCTGATTGTCTTTGTTGGTCTTCCTTGAGCTCCATCCTCTGCTCTCGTCGAAGAGATGCCTCTGATCTGGGCTTACTTGTTGTGTGGTAACAGAGGCTAACAGTGGGAGCTCAGTCTACCGACTCAACGTCACCCAAAGCGCTAGGGCACCCTAAAAAGTCCCAACAAAGTCCATATTAGACTACAGGTAACTTAAACATGATCAGTATTACTAGGTAAATAAGCATTTCACCACAACCCAATAATACATAAACAAAGCCACAAAAACCAAGTTAGCTAATACCTCTGATGAAGTGGTCGCTGCAGACACGTGCATTAGACGACTCTGCTCCTCCCGACCGCAGATGTAGGTTTGAAAGCCATTTTTTCCGGCGTTCTTCGGTTAGCTTCTTAAATTGCTCAGCTTTATGGACGACAACCTTCGGCACTCGGTAAAACCTCTTATTTTTCTCTCTGCCGGATCGATTGAAACAACCATAAACTACACAACACACCGGCATTTTCACAATGGTAACAGCAGCTAGATCCTCTGTAGAAAATTACTTCCTGACCTCCAATGGAATTTCGCGCAAAAGGAACGCAGCAGTGTGACGTCAAGTGAAACCAAGCTATTGTACTGTAAGCCTTGCTTTCAATCTCTGTACATGATGCAGTATAATGAACACAAAGAGCCTAGACATGTGTTCTCCTATTACAATACTATAGGGAAACTAGCCGGCCCGACACAATCTTGGTTCTATCGGGGCCAACAACCGGGCTGAATATGCTAAACTAGTGGGAGAATCGCTGGCAAGGGGGCTACAACTACAACAAGATGAACATATTTGACAGTGATTTAATTGTAATACACGTTTCAAAATTATACCGGTTAGTAAAAACCATGAATTAATGCTTTGACAAGTCTGCAGACAGACGGCAGGCGAAAAACCTTTTAAAATGCGTGTGTCTAAATGGAGATCGGCTAAGCTAACGCAGTATATGCTCCGACC